CTTGAACATTCAATTTTTCGAAATTGGCTGCGAAAATGTTGAGATTGCAGATGGCTGAAATATGAGTTTTGGTCGTTTGGAAGATGCTTGTCGATAATTATTACGGTCGGAGAGATGGTATACCTTGGGGGAAATGGGGGTCGACTGGGATCCTGAGGCCCTGAGCGGTCGTATGGAGATGGAACGGATGGTGACTCCCCTTTATTTTCCCAGCTGCATTCGGTTCTTGGCATATTGACAGGGCACATGTTTGCCCACATCCCGGCCAGATTCTCGCTATTATTCGATGCGTGCACAGTGGTGCGAAGGGGTGAGTTTATGGAACAAAATGTAAGGCTAATGAAAAAAATATTTCCCTTGGAGTTTTCAATTTTTAATATTAAATGTAGTAGTATAATTATAATTACCAATAGTATTTTTTCACAGTGGATAATATATTTTATTCATTATTATTTCCATTGTAATTTTTAGTAGTTGTAGAAGATTATGTATTAAATTTAATAGAAAATATTATTTTAAAGTGAAAATAAATATTGTTTATTATAAACTTAAACTTATTTATTTTAATTTTAACAAAAAAAAATGTTTTAAATATATACTTTTTGACCACGGTGGCCTGCATTTGCATATGTTTCTCATGCGTGTGGTGAAAAGTGTGGGCGGTGGGCGGAAACTCAGGAAAAGTGGGCGGGGCCGGGGGTGGACGCATATGCAAGAGAAGTGCAGCTTGTTTGTCTTGCACTTGCGACTGTCGGAGCAACTGTCAGGACATTGTCGCATTGATAAAGCGTCTTTTTGGAATGGGAATGGGGATGGGGATGACCGGGGGGAGGGATGTATTTGGGTGCGAGCCTGTCAAAGGATATATCGCATCAATCACACAGCACCATATGTGTCGCCAGTTGGCAAGAACAATAACAAGGACGAGGGAAATAAAGCCGGGAAAGCACACACAAGTTCTCGCACAAATCTTAACACTTTCGCCCCTCGCGGAGTTTTCATTAGCGCTTTCCTGGCGAATCGGCAAAGCGATACCGATCCAATTATCCTTCGGCTCTCCATTTATCCCTTTTCCCTTTCTCCCCTTTTATTTTTGTAGTATTTTTTATGATTGGGCCCGGAACACGTGGCTCCTCGGCTGGTTTATCCCGCCGAGCTAGAAGCACATAAATCTTCCTGCCCGACGACGTTTGACAGCGGCACTCATATGTCAGGCCATCCTTGTTGCTGTGGGCTTGTTTTGGATTTCATGTTTAACATTTTACAGCAACGACAGCAGTTTGACAGTTTCTGGTATTTATTGTAGATGGGTAGGAAAACATTTTTGAGGCCTTAGGAAAATTTAGGGGAGCAGGAATTAGGGGAACATCATCCTGACGATAAATGGTTTGTATATCTCATTTGATAGTCAACGCATTTTGATCTTTATTTTGAAAACACTAAATAATAAATAATAAAATAAATTAAATCAAATATTCATTAAAAACTATGTTAAGTGTAAGGTTAAATATATATTTTAGATAATTAAATCGAAATATTTAAATACCAAATTTGGAGGAATTGCTTTGTGGTTTAAATAAAACTCAAAGTAAGGACAAGTTAAAATTGATTACATTAAGTTCTATATAATTTCTTATTTTTACATATGGCTTGTAATATGAATATATAAATAATATTCACTTAATAAAATTATAAATCGTTTACCCTTAAAATATTCTAATTGAATTAATCTCCAAATTACTTCCAAACTAGTTTGCCTAGTAAGCGACGCAAATTGATAACCTTGATATATTGTTTGGCAAGTGAAAATCTGGCAACAATTAAAATGCAGTGGGGGCGTTGTGGGGTTAAGCCACATGCAGCATTGGCAAATTGCAGTTCAAGTGCTTAACTCGGCTCATTTCGATGCAGCCCGAAAGGCAGCACTTATTGTTAGTAACGGACACTGCCAACAGCAACAACAGAAACAGCAACAATTAGGCTATGTAATTACGGCCAAAATGGGAAGAGAGGGCGAAAAATATAGTAGCACCAAAGGAAAACAGAGAAAAATAGCCCCAATAGCTAAGCACTGTGAAAATAGGATAGACTTTTCGTGTGTGTACTACATTTTACACATCTCTTACAAATCTAATAGTTATTAGTAATAACAACATATTCTACTTAGTTACTACTTTTGTAACTGATATACAATTGTAAACTTTATTTTATATATTTTAATAAATACCAAACATTTAAAAAAAGTTTTTTTTGTGCATAACGTTGTCTTTAGACTACATATTAACCACAAATAAAGAAGAGATTTTATATCAAAAAATTATTTTAATAATTTTTCGTAAATTCAGTGTTTAATTTTTTTCTAGATTTTTTTTAATGGTAGCTAAAATTTCGTTAAGTGAAGTGTCAGAAAACTACTGAAGAGGCATGTAGCCACGAAAATAAAAATAAAAGCCAACACAGAAAACAAAGGGCAGACATATGACAGAACAAAGAGCAGAGACACTGCATTTACATTTAAATGGTGGGAAATCGTGGTATGAGGATGGGAAAAGTGGAAAAAGTGGGTGGGGAAAAGCTAGTGCATGCATGCTAACGATGCACTGAAAATAGTTTAACTATATTTAAAAGCGAAATTATAAAAAAAGGAACATATGTATAAAGTAAATTGCTAACTCATTTAAACCTCTTCAAATTGTTGTCATTGTGATGATTTTTAAAATTCCAATCATATTGATAATATTGCTTTAGAATTAAATATTTTTTGCAGTGTGCCCAAGGCGACAGTGGGAACAGCAAAATGCAATACAATAAACATGGAATGCATTTTGGCCCTGCCTTGTCGGTGAGCGTGTGTGAGTGCGTGATTGCAGAATATACCACATCATCAGCCGTTCCACCTACTATGCCCACCCAACCCCCAACCACCCACCACCCACCTGCTTCTCAAACCCTCCACTGACCATTGAACAAAATGCCCAATTTGGTCAACGTCAACATTTTGAGGCGACAACAGACTTCGTGCAACCACACATCAAAAAAAAATCCTTGAAACCTAAGAAAAACATTTCTTTTTTCAATGATATTTTTAAATTCTAATAAAAAAGTTTTAAAAATCGAACTAAGTTAAACTAAGAAGAAATTGTCATTCATTTTATGCTGATGATATATTTAATATAATAAGTAATAACCATCTGTCAAGTAATGGAACGATATAAGATATCATAATAAAAATCTTTAATTGTTTTATTTTGAATGCCTTACGTTTTAAATGATAAAAACGTTTTTAGATAATGATAAATATTAACTTGATTTTTCAATGTGCACCCTCCTAACTTGACCCCTAGGAACTGGCCCACACGTAGCACGCATTTCCAATTTAAACTTGAATACGCATAAATTAGTGGGTATTGCCAACTTGGCAACAAAAACCCCGGGTGCAACAACAATGCCAGCCATGATGACAGGCCCAGGACATGAATGGCGGGATCCCCCAACCCCATTCCCCCAGTAAAAAGGGCTTAAAGGGGGGGGGGGGGGGGGGGGGGGAGTTGAAAGTGGTCGACAGTGGTCCGCAAATTGCTGCAACAGATATAGTCCTAAAAGGGGGTCCTCCGCCTTATGCAATGTGTAACCAAAAAAGGCGTCAAGTGTGGAAACTATGTTGAGTTGTTTAAATTCGAATCACTAACAGCGGAAGTGCAATACAGTTTATACCGATGGGACCTATACTATATTTAACCCTAAGGTCTGTTGTTATTTTTTGTATAATTAGTAGGGTTAGTAAAGCCAATATGTGAACTCTGAATCACTTACAGCGGAAGTGATATAAAGCTATATTTATCCTTAATATTTTTCGGTTTTCTTTTGTGAAATTAGTTAAGTTAAGAACTCTTATATCTAGCCCAAGGATATTTTGGTTATTTTTTGAAAAATTAGTTATAAAGCTATATTTATCCTTAATATATGTTGGCATTCCTTTTATGTAATTGGTTAGTTAGGAACTCTTATATTTAACCCAAGGATCTTTCGGTTATTTTTTTAGGAAATTAGTTATAAAGCTATATTTATCCTTAACATATGTTGGTATTCCTTTTGTGAAATTAGTTAAGTTAGGAACTCCTATATTTAACCCTAAGATCTGTTGGTTATTTTTTGGGAAATTAATTAGGTTAGTAAACCCAAGAAGTTGACTTCGAATTACTATTTATATCTTATATCTATATTTATCCCTAATATCTGATGGTTTTTCTTTGTGAAATTAGTTTAGTTAGGAACCCCAAAAAGTCGACTTCCCAGGAGTGTGCTTGCCCACCCCACTGTGCCGGAAAAATGGAAAAGGTGGGACGATGGGGGCACGTTCGGGGTGCGCTTCATTAGGTATGTGTTTGTTTGTGGCCTGCGGCCTGGACCGGAGCTGACACTAGAAAAGTTTGACCAGGCAGCGGATTGCTCCCCCGGGGCGGAGTCCCCACCAAAAGTCCACCTTCCTGGGAAAAATGTCGAAAGATGTGGCTGGCAGTTGGGACACTCGCTGGGCGAATGGCAAAGGGAATGGAACTGGATCTAAAACTGGGACACGGACTGGGGATTCGGGATTCCGGGATGGCGGCCCTTTACAACGCCACTTTGCTTAATGGCCCGATACGGAGCTTAATCGTTCTGTTTCAAGTTGCCGGCCATAAAGGAAATGCATCCATCATAAAATGTTTCGTCGCTTCGCTCGAATTTTAATGCGACTCTCTTTATGACCCGCCACAAATTAGCCATCGAGGAAGAAAATAAACAGGATATTCTGTTCGGTTTAGTTGGACTTTTATTTTCATTTGTATGGGAGTGTATATAAACCACCGTATAAAATCAATATTCAATTTAATTTTGATATTAATTGTATATTTTTAGCCAGATTCCAAATTCCAAATGGAGTTCCCAAAGTGACCTTTGTGAGCCCTGTCATTTCGACATGCTTTGACTTTGAGAGATCCATAGTCAGTTGAAATCCATTCTCGATACCATTCGGTTCGTTAGGCAGTACCAAATTTAAAGTAAATTATTTCTTGAAAAACATTTCAAATTCCGTACAAATTAAAAACAGCACAATGGTGTGGAACGCCCTTTCCTTTTGGGATGGTCAGCCAGTTACGTCGCCCGTTTATCCGCAAATGGGGGATCTATGGAACCCCAATACCTCGGGATACCAAAGGATCCACCATTCTCCGCCGAACCATCATAGCCATCATAACCATCTGAACCATCATAGTCATCAGAACCATCAGAACCATCCGAACCCGGGTTGCTATCGGCATCAGCATCAACATCCGCGCATGGACATGGGGGACTATCGCCAGATGAGCTGTCCTATGCCGAACTACTATCCGCAGATGCGGGAGCCCGGTTTGGATGATGGAGAGGCATTCTGCGCCTACAACGGCATGGAGATGAACCAGGCGTACAGCGGGGGAGTACGACCTGGTACTGGATCTGGAGCTGGAGCTGGAGCCCAGGGCGACTATTGGTAGAGATTGGACCACCCGTACATGGTGTATTTTACTAAACTTTCTGTGCGTTTGGTCTTTGGAACGATTAAAATGTTTTCTTGAAGAGTGAACTGACATCAGTTTTTATTCAAAAAGTAAAAGATTTCGTTTTTTTGATGGTTAGCATGATTTACGGCCGATTTCTCAATGTCATGTTAACTTTTACCATTAGGTTAAACTGCTGTTTTGGGCATTAGTTTCCTATCTTAACGAACTAACAAACAATTTAATTTTATGGTAACATCCTTTGACAGATAACTAAACTCTTAGCATGACATTGAGAAATCCGCTCTTAACATCTTTACAATGGGGTTAAACGAAACCACAAGTTAAATGTAGTACATAAAGTCAAATAAAAGATTCACGTAAATGTGGGTATGTGGAAATGAAGAGTGAACTGACATCAGTTTTTATTCAAAAACTAAAAGGTTTTGTTTTTTCGGTGGTTAACATTATTTACGGCCGGTTTCTCAATGTCATTGCCATTAGATTTAATTGCTGGTTTGGTATTTTTTGGTACAAACAATTTAATTTAATGGAAACATTCCCTGGCAGATAACAAAATAAAACCTTAACATGACATTGAGAAATCCGCTCTAAACATCTTTAAAATAGGGTTAAGCAAAACCCCGAGTTAAATGTAGCACCTAAAGTCAAGTAATAGATTCATACAAATGTGGGTATGTGGAAATGTGTTTATATTAATAGTAGGGGCCATTACAATCTGGCATAAAACAATTGTTGCATTTACCCCTCCAATTCGATACAATTGGTTTCGATTCAATTCAAATCGATTCGATTGCTCGCCTCGGTCGTCTGATATTTCTGGAATTTCCATTTACGAACTGCAGCCTGCGGCCTGTCATGGCTCGGCCTTAATTGATTTGCCTCCGCAAATATTTTGCTATAATTAAACAGTTGTCCAGGTCCGGAACCGAGGATCTTCGGCTGCACTGCAGCACTTAATGGCCTGGCCACAAACATTTGTCCAGACGGTTGCTGCCATTGCCACCGCCGCTGGCTTTCACCTGGCTTTCACCCGGCTTTCATCCGCCTTTCAACCGACAGAGCCCTCTGCCCGGGGGCGGGGCGGTACGGGGGGCGTGGCGTGGCGGACGGCTTGTTTCCTTTACGGATCGAAGAACAGGACTCCGGGCGAGCAAATTGCAGGCGCGCAGCCGTTTCAGCAATTTCGGACCAAGTAAAACTTGATTAATGTTCGCTATTCAATTTCGTCTTTATCGTATCCTGGTGCAGCACTATCTTGAGGGGTATGTCGGGATCATATAAAATTTCAAAAAAAATGCTACACACCGGAATAGAGGAGAGTATGAACATTAATCAGCAACAATCAAGTGAATTCATTATTTTGTATTAACTTCTTATTAATGTATGGATTTAAGGAACTATGAAAACTGATGATATCATATTAAGTTTACAGAAAAAAAAAATATCATATAATGGTTGATCATTATTTTAATCATTGATCATTTATTTTAATATTAAATAAGCAACAATCAATATTCAAAACTCAATGGACAACATTCACCAATCAACAATTAATAATTAATTTTTCACAATCAAAATTTAATATGAAACATACACATGCAACTTGAAACAGTCAACATGTAACATATAACATTCAACAGGAAATATTAAACACGCAACATTCAACAACCAACTTACATGCAAAATGCTAATTTCAACAATTTACAATAGTCAAACAACATTCAACATACAACATGCAATATTTAACATGTAACTTGCAACTTACATGTTGAAACAATGTTAGATAATATAAAAATAATGTTTATGTAATATTATTAAAATTAACAAATGGCCACGTCATCAATAGCATTAATTACAAGATAATTTTCCTCCGTCGGCCTTACAATTCCCAACTGGTTCTAGCCAAAAAGTAATGACCTAGGTGTTATGGTCACCCTACAAATCAGTTGACCGGAAGTTTCCGGATGTGTGTGTGTGTAAATGTGAAGTGGTTACCTCGGGATATCATCATACGGGAACTGGACTCCAGGATGCAGTGCATCGGGAACTCTTCCAGGTATGTACCCATATTAATTTTTGTTTTTTTATATTTATTATATATACTATTATTATATATACTATTATTATATATACTATTATTATATATACTATTATTATATATACTATTATTATATATACTATTATTATATATACTATTATTATATATACTATTATTATATATACTATTATTATATATACTATTATTATATATACTATTATTATACATACTATTATTATATATACTATTATTATATATACTATTATTATATATACTATTATTATGTATACTATTATTATATATACAATTATTATATATACAATTATTATATATACAATTATTATATATACAATTATTATATATACTATTATTATACATATATACTATACCGTTATTATTTTATTTCTAAGTATTGAACAGCAGACAAGAAAGCAAGCTAAATTTTTTTTTTAAAGGGTACTTGAAGGCGTAATCCTTCTTGTGTGTCTCTACAATTAAGCCCAAAAGTATTTAACAACAATTCCAGTCGAGTTTTCAGCCATTTGCCTGGAAAATGTAAATGGAAATGGGAAAAGCGGCGAGTCGAAAGGAAATGGCCAAACGCAAAGGCGTTCAACTTGAAACACATACACAAACATATATAGAGCGCTTCAGGGAAATTCCGCTCCGCTTTTCCGGACCCCCCCCACCTCGAATTTTCCTCCTTTCGCCGCCTTTCTCCATCCATTGTCCATCGTTCTGCTGACTTTGTCAAAAATGTGTTGAAAAGTAACAGCAAAACAGAAAGTGACAGCCGTAAAAAGCGTTAGACTTGCCATCTAGCAGCCATTTTGCAACTGACAAATATGGCGGCAACCAAGGGCGGGGGGCGTGGCAAATGGGGATGGTGGTCTTTTGGCAGATGGAAGAGATTTTCGCATTTCGTATCATAAATCCCAGGCGTTGAGCGGCGAGGGGGCGGTTCCAGGATCCAACGAGCAAAAACGATTAACGACCACACGAATGCAGATATCAGACAGGAGTTACAGCCAGCCGCATCTATACTATATTCTATTCCTGATATAGGTACAGTAAAAAATCACATTAAAGAACATGAAATTGGCACGTTGATCCCATACTTACACTTTGTCTTAAATTATATATATATATATATGGTTTATAAGTTGCAACTTTACTAAAGGGTAAAGGGTATTTTTCTTAAAGGTTATTGTTTATTTTTATTTTAGTATTCTTTTAGTATTCTTTTAGTATTCTTTTAGTATTCATTTAGTACTTTTTTAGTATTATTTTAGTATTGACTTTAAAATTCGACATCCTTTCTTATAATACTAAAATACCCCGGAAAACTAGACAACAATTTTATTGATTAATTTTTTTTTTTTTTTAATATTAATACAGTTAATAAGTAATTATATATTAAACCAGTTTTTTGTACTCCTAAAAGATGTCCTGCATTCCAAGCCACTATAAACTTTTTTAATCCTCCATTGTTACCATTTCATTAGTTCATTCAAAGAGTTTTCTCTGTGCAAACAAATATATCTATATGTAAATAAATAGCGCTACATTGGCCGTATTTTCATTATCGCTTCCAATTCAATTGCGTTTGGCTTTTGATATACATATAAAACTGGCAAAGCGTTTTGTTTATTTGTGCTGCTAACATTTAATAAAATTTTGAAATGAATTTAGAAAAAAATGGTTGCCATTTGAGCAGATAAATAAAAAGGAAACCATGAAAAATTGTGAATATGTGGGAGATTAAAAATAATATCTAATGAACATTGCTAAAAGGCCAAATTAAATATGAATGCCTGTTCACAGGAAAACCTTGTAAATGTGTTAAACGAGTTTGCTAAATTTAAATTACCGTCTGTTTTCGTTTTTCGTCTTAATTTTATTCCCCGTGTTTGTCTAAAATATATCATGTGGCTTTAAGCATATTTAAATGGTTTAATTGTGCCAAATTCCTGACTTTTTCGGGGAGGAAAAAGGAGGCAAAATCCAAAAGAGAACAGAAACATTTACTGTGTCTGTGGCTTGACTTTTTAAAGCCTTCGTTCCGACTGGCGGCTCATTTCTTATTATATTCCGCCTGCAATTTCACTGATTAATTGCTGGGGTAGTATTACCTCCTTTTCCGACTGGTCGCTCTTTCGTTTTTATTTTTGGTAATTTTGCTAAGTTGCCAGATACACTTGGTAAAAATGTGGGGAAGACAAGGCTTTCGAGTTAAGAAAGAAATACAAATTAAAATTAAATTAAAGTTAAGTGGTTCGTAAATGTCAATCTCCTATTAAAGCAAAGAAAGTGCTTCAGAGATTTGTAGTTTTTGCAACTTATTGTAGCATTTTCATCTACAAATTGCTTTGCTGACCTTTTCATGGGTCGTTTCGGGTGCGTGATTCCTCCTGCAGGGTAACTTCTAATCGAACCCTGGAGGCAGGTCATTCCCGCCGACTTGTTACCCCATCCGCTGTTTATTTTGGCCGTTTCCCTTTTGGCCAACTTTTGTGGCAGCGACGGCAACAGCTCATCTGTTTTTATTTATGTATTTCATTTATTTAATTCAAACGTCTGACTGAGTTGTGCGCTCTGTTGCCGCTGCCGTTGCCACTCCCCCTTGGAAACCGCCCCCCTCGGAGTCCTTCGTCCTTGAAGCGGTCTTTGGTCCGTTGTTTAGTTTTCGGTCGGAATTTGCATTTGGCGTGTCCTTCTCAGCATTTGGTGCTTCTCCAATACTGGAACAAAATTATGGTTAAAACTCTGTATACAAATGTTCAGGGATTTTGATTTTGTAATATTTTCCAGTCAGTTATATAATATAATAATAAATATAGATATAAAGGATAATTTATAAAAATGAAATAAAATATAATATATTATAACGATGTATGGGCCGAAGGACTTTAGCTTCCAGCGCCCCTTCTTTTACAAATATTAATTTCAGTTACATATACAAGCTTTAATTTGTAAATAAATGAATAAGAATAATGATATCAGATATAATAGGTATTATTAAAT